TGTTTCTTTCACGATGTATACCCTGCTATATACAAATCAAATAAAGAAATGATGTTTACCTACAAAAAAAAAAAAAATAAAAAAAAAAATAAATATATTATAATATTTGTATTGTATTATTATATTCTGATTAAATATTAATAAATGCATTCAAATTGAATTAAACCAGTTAAACCTAAAACTATATTGATTTAAAAAAATCAATTTTTATTTACGTATTGATTGCCCTGTATAATTTTATGCTAAACTCGAGTTGTGTCACCAAGGAACCGAAGATCCAATAATAATGGAACAAGATCTACACATTAGGCCCTCGTCTCTAGAATTATGAATCAACAAGCATTACCTTCATTTCCTATAAATAACAAAGAAATTCAATTTCTTGCACAGGTAACGCATTATAACTATGGTTTTCTAAGTTTCCTGGTTGAATAATGAAGTCATAATTTCCATGTTTTTTTTTAAGGAAACCACAACTTTGATTGTAAAGAATTTACCAAGTTATTCCGAACCTGATCTGATTGATTTCCTAAAACATTTCGGTCCACGAGAAATTCGTCTTGGAAAATCACAGCAATTGGTAAAATCACGTAAAATTACTAAGTAACTTTCCTTTTATTTATGACTTTTTTGAACCCAATAGAAAAATTCGGCTTTTCTTGATTTTCCTGATCGCGTATCGGCTGAAACAGCATTTTCCAAAATCCATGAAATTGGAAGTGTTGCTGGTAAAAATATTAGAGTGGAATATGCATTACCTAGCAAGGAGGCTCTGAAGATTGCAGATGGCGAAAATGGAGTTATTCCTGTGGAATCTTCTCAGACAGTGCAACCTCCTCCTCCGCCACCTCCACCTACTCCTCCGACACACGGATCATACGCGGAACCAATTGCACCTTTGCTTGGGTAACTATTCCAGGATATTGTTTTTATCGTGTGATTTTTTATTACAATATAAATCGTTTCAATTATCAGGTTAAATTATCCACCCGCACCAACGCTTTATTATCGATATCCACCTCCAACAGTTGAAATTCTTCAAAACATTATGAATGCAATAGCAGCTGTGCCTAAATTATATACGCAGGTGTTACACCTTATGAACAAAATGAATCTGCCACCACCGTTTAGTCCAGTGGTACCTGAATCAATCCCAACTATTGTAAGCATACTATACATTTGTCAAATAAACAAATTGCGAGAATCATTCGAATTTTATTTTTTCCTAGCTTCAACAACACCTATCGGAGGTGCATAATACCGAGGATCGTAACAATAAGAAGCGAAAAAAGAAGGATGATTTATTATCAGAAGACGAATCAGAGATTGAAAGTGAAGACGAAGAAGAACAGAGCAATATTAAATCGAAGAAGAAAGTCAAAACAAGCATTCCTGGCACAATTCAACTTATGCCATCAATCACTACAATGGACAAATCATATTTAAACACGTTGAATGCAACGTCACTATTAAATCCAAAAAATGTTCTTCCTTCACAAGTAGCACAAAAACCACAATTTTTTGACGCAACCATGCTAAATAATACTTCGACATCACAAGCTGTAGCTCCTTCTGACCCAATAATACAACATTCAGAACATCACAATTGTATTACTATTGAAGAAATCAATAAAAATAAGAAGTCTAATGAAGGTATGTGCGATAAAACATGATTCGGATCAAAAATATTATTTATTTTAATTTCCTTGTGATTATAGAGTTAAAAAAGCTTCCCATGATGAAAAAGTACGCACCTGGAGAACCTAGTAGAACGTTGTATATTAAGAATTTAGCTCAAAAGAAAATTGAAGAGAAAGATTTAGAGTACCTTTTTGGCAAATATTTCAATTCATATTCGGACATGAAGAGGTATTCTTATGAGTCATTTTTGATGAATTATTAGATTATTTTGATTTAACAACACTATTTCTTCAAATCCAGTAACCTGGAAATTCAACTGATGAAGGAAGGACGAATGAGAGGACAAGCATTTATAAAGTTTCCAAATATAGAAATGGCGACTCGAGCTTTAAATGAACTTCATGGTTATGTAGTGCACGATAAACCGATGGTTATAGTAAGTTTTATTAATATTTCACATCGCAGTAGAACATATAACAGGGCAGCCCTGAATATTTATTCCATGAATTTACTAAGTATATTTTTAATTTTAGCAATTTAGTAAGGTTTTATGATACGTAATAAAAATAATGCCTTGTGAAGAAAAATGAGATTTAACCTCAACACTTCATAAACGAGATAAATGGCAGGTAGAAAATTTTGTTATTGACCTTCAAGATTTAGTTTATAGGTAAATCCATAGGCACTTTGTTGGATCTCAATCTTATTGTTAGCTAAAGAAAAAATGCAAAGTTAATTATTGTTTGAATCCAATAACATTATCAGCTTACATTTGAAAAGAAATCAAAATTTAAAATAACCAAACTATAAATTATATCGTTTATTACAAGTTGAATAAAATTGGAAGTTTATTTAATGTATATATAAAAATTATTTTGTTATAATAATTTATAATAAAAAACACAATTTCTAACAATTAAAAATTATTAATTAGTAATAGATTTTTAAAAAAATAGCTGTGTTTAATAGTTATTATATATACTGTATATATATATTTTATATTAAAATTAATAAAATAAAAAATACATATAATTAAAATAATTTTTTAAATAAAAATTAATAAATAAGAATATATAGTTTGGAACAAAAAAAATTATCTAAAATTGAAATAAAAAATATACATATGTTTATTTAGAAATATAAAGAATAAAAATAAATAAATAACTTTTTTAAATATATTAAAATAATATTAGTAAATTTTAATTAAAAAGAAATAAGAAATTAAATTTTTTAATTTTTTATTTCTTAAAAAAAACAATAATAAATTATTTAAATTATTTAAATATATTCTTTAATTATAATATAGGCAAATTTGTTTATATATTTAAAATTTTAATAAAAATTTAAATATTAATTTTTATAATTTACTTATATTATTATTATTTTTATTTTTGTAAGTAAATATTATTTTTTTTTTAATTTGTATATAACAAGATATATATCATAAAAGAAACAACATGTCTTATGTATTGATATAATAAATTAAATATTAGCTTGTCTATAGTAACTATATAATTAATATTGAAAAAAAAAATTTATTTATTTGTATTATAAAAAATATAATTTAAGATATTCTTTATTAACTTTATTAAAAAAAAATTCAAAATTTTATTGAAAATTTTAAAATAAATAACTTTAAACTTTATGTTTAAAATTTTAATATAAAAAATTATATAAAATTAATATACAGTATATTTAAAGTAAAAAATTATTTTACTTTTAATATAAGTTAAAATTTTTATAATCAAATTATTAAAATTGTAATAATTAAAGTTATTTTTTTACAAATAATTCTACAAATTTGCTTATAAATTATATAAACTTTAATTTAAAAAAAAATTTTTTTTTTTTTAAAAAGAGCAAATGACTATTATGCTTTATTATATTATTATACTTTTATTTACAAAACAAAGTACAATATTAATAGCACAACATATATTTCTCTTTACTAGGAAAAGTTTAACGCAAGGCTCTCATAAGAGGCCTAATCCCTGTTCTTTTGGTACTATTCAAGAAATATAAAAAAAAAAATTCAAAAATCTATATTATTGTCTTAAATGGCATCTAGCTATCTAGAAATAAATGAATACCTAATTACATAAAGGTGCTACAGCCAATCTATACAGGTTGGCTTCCAAGTTATAATTAGGATTGGCACACCTGCTTTCCAAATATGACTTGATGTATAGCAAATAAAGTAGTATTAAAGATAATAGGAAGTAAATATCTTTTTGCATGAAAGTACTACAGTCACTTTATACAAGTTTGCTTCCAAGTCATAAAAAGAATTTGATATATCTATGCTTTAAGTATGGCAGAAATGTCCTATAGGTAGAGTTTATATTAGTTTTCTTAATAGTGCTAGAATCTAATCTTATACAATAAATCTATATTATTTAAGAGGTAAATGAGAAACTTCTGTTGTTATCACCAGCTCATTTTCAAGAGTAACTAGAATTCTTAGTTGTCATATATTATCCTACTAAGTTCTCTAATTACCAGTATGACACCCAAAGTCACCAGAGCCTAAGTTGACTCTTTTACCAACATTATTTTAAACAATAATCAGTTCGACCAACTCAAATCATTCCTTGAACAACAAATCACAAAAGTCCTCTAATAATATCTTTTCTTTATTCACATTATCACTCAAAAATCTCATCACAATATCTATGCTCAATGTCAGGAACCTTAATGACAGAGCAAAACTACTTGAACTAATCAAATCCATTACAAGTGAAAGACATATTTTCTATTGTTCTGAAACAAAAAACACAAAATTAAATATTTTATCTAAAACACTGAATAATACCACTATAATCACAAGCGAACCCAATAATTCTGCCAGTAATAGTTCAGCCATATTTCTCTCCAGGGCCATAACAAACCATATCTTTAAAACCTTCTCCCTCAATAAGTACTGATGTATTATACATCTCAAATTTAAACTAAAAGTCAATATCATAGCTATCACCTACTACCTTCTCTATAAATTAGATTTCAGAAAAATAGCAGTTAGGTCCCTCAAAGGCTTTATCAAGGAACACTCTAACAAACATATCATTCTTGCTGATGACTTTAATATTTATCCAACAGAAGCCCCACACATAAACACCAAAACTACAGCTCATAAAGACACATTTACTAATACCTGTACAAATTTACTGACATAGCAAAAGCAACTAACAAGGAGCATCAATACATATATTACACTAGCAACAGTGCTTCCAGAATTGATCAAATTTAAATTACCAACAACTTGGCAAGAAAAACACTTTTATACAAAGTCCATGAACAAACTAATATAATTATAGACCACAAACGTATATAATTACAGACCACAAACAAGTCACCATTATTTTGGATTGGTTTGAATATAAGTCCAACAGAATTAGCTTTAATATGAAAGTCTATCAGTTCAAAGAAGCCACTCTTGAGAATATCAAAGGCTTCCAAGAAGACATAGAACTTGCATGCCAAGCAAACAGTTCTCCAACTTGGGATTACATAAACAACACTATTAAAAATACTCTTGACAATAACATTTCAAAAAGAAAAAGCACACTATCTATCCAAAATATAGATCTATTCAAATACTACACCAGAGCCATAAAAATTATAAAGAAATTAATTAATATTAAAAGCAACAATTTCAAAAACAAAAGTCTTTCAAAACTTCTACCAATCATCACAGCAGCTCTACAAAGAATCTCAAACAATCCTCCAAATATCAAAGATTTCAAAAAGCTCCTAAAAATTCTGATCAAGGAAAAACTATCTAAGTTAAATAAGATCATTATTCAAGAATTACAAAAGAACATAGAATCAAATTACCACACATTCTAGACTTACCCAAAAAATGTCCTCAAAAAAGTCTTAGGAGATCTAAAGCCATCCTTAGACCTTTTTATTCTAATAGGAGAAGACAATCAATTACATGATGAATTATTGACCACTTTAAAAAAATCCTGGAACCCAAACCATTTCTTCTTAACAATAATTGCAGCCCCAAATATAAATCTTTAAATCACATTTCTAACAATGCATTCGACATTCTTTCAATACCAATTATCAACCAAGAACTTGAGGAGGCACCTGCAGACATTTCTAAACACAAAGCTTCTGGCCTTACTTTCATCCCATATGAAGCTTGGTCTCTAATCAGCCCACTAGGAAAGAGATATATCCAAATACTCTTTAACAATGTTCTAATATCGAACCAAGTACCTAAATTCTAGAAGCAATCAGCTATTATGCTTCTTTCAAAAAAAGTCATCTGGTCATATGACCTTACCGATACATGTCCAATCTTCCTCATTGAAACAAGCAAAAAAATTTTTACAAAAATAATCAACAATAGACTTTTCATTAGCATTTTGAAACACAGAGCCATATTAGACTTCAACTTCGCTAAATTAAAAAACCAAAGTACCACTGAACCAATTGCAATTATTACTTCCTGCATTAACACAGCAAACAATCTCAATAAAGAAATATGGGTCATATCCTTCGACATCTCTAAAGCATTTGATTCTGTTAACTTTTCCAGCCTCAAAAAGACTATGGAGCACATCAAACTTCCATCCGAAACCACTACACTAGTTTATAATCTTTTAAATGAAAGAGAATTGAAACTAATAGCATACTATAAGCTCTCTGAACCATTAAAAGTGTTCAAAGATCTTGATCATAGTAAAACTCTTTCTCTATTATTGTGGACAATTTTATATGACCCAATAATTAGTAAAATCTCAATCAGATTTCTAGCAACATCTAAAATTCTCACTTACATAGATGACATAGTCCTCTCCAGCTCAAACATGCTATCTTTACAAGAAGTAACAAACACCTTTTGTTCTTTTTTGTTACTAAACTCAATCAAATGCAACCAGAAAAAAACTGAACTAATCACTAACCTCAAACTACTAAATCAAAAGAGAAGGCAATACCTAACTGTTGAAGATAAAAAAATCTATCCCAAGCTATATAGTGATGACATCAAATACTTAGGCATTCATCTCTCAGGGAAATCATCCTCTATCACTACAAAATGCAAACTATTAGAAAAAGTTCAAAAATTCACCAACGTAATTGCTTCACAAAAAAGTTGGAACAAACTAATAACTAAACAAACTTCTCAATGAATCATACCAGCCCAATTGGAGTATACCATTAATGCGATGATCCTATCTGATAAAGAAATAACTACTCTCCAGAAAAAAATAAATAAACCAATCAAGGCAAAACTTGGAGTCAAGTGCATCATTTCAAACAAAATCCTATATTTACAAGTCAAACTCGACATTGTCAAACTTCAAAATTGACAAGATGTTCAAAATTTTAGCCATTAAGCTCACCAATCCTAAAATCTCTCCCTTTACCATAAAAGAAATTACATCAATATAAGCTGCGCAAGCTATATGGTGTTGTCCAATC